ACAGCACTTCAGAGCAATCAGGGATTCACTTTTCATGTTTATGTTCCTTATTCTCAGAATGATAAATCAATTTCCTCCGACACTATTGAAAATATGATTCGAAACTATTTTCCTGTTGGTGTGATGCACAGTTTGCAAATTCAGGCGAAGCTGACTGGTCACTGAAATGATGGAGACCTAATAAAGAGGTTTCCACAACATCACTGAGAAGCCCTGAGTCTCTCAGCATCCCCCGCACGGCCACTCTTCCTGGGCATTGACTTGACTGTCCGAATACCTGAACTTGGAATTGCCAGTCTTGGCTTTGCTGTTTGCTGTGTGACTTTTGGAAAATTTATCAACCTCACTGTGCCTTATATTCATTCCTGCCAATGTGGAAATGTCATTGCTGTTCTAACAAAGTTTACCACAAGTAACCAAATGGAAATTTTTTTCTCAAGCACTTGCTATTATACAAATTCTTAATAATGATAAAGGTATTAATAATAACCACAGCTTCCTAAAATTTTAGAGTTACCTTTAAAATGTTGTTTCATATATTTTTAGACTTATTTTAAAACAATTTCAAAGTTACAGAAAAGGTGCAAAAATAGTACAAAAAACCTTCTGTATACTCTTTAACCAGATTCATCAGTATTTGACATTTTACTACAGTTGCTTTATCATTCTCTCGATATATACAAAAACCATTTCAGAGTAGGTTGCAAATTTCATGCCCATTTACCCCATAATACTTCAAGGTGTATTTCCTAAGAGCAAGAATATTCTCTTTCATATCTACATTGATAAAATAATTTAAGCTATAGATCGTATTGCAATTTCTTTATAGCAATCCCCCAGCCCCACCCCAGGGTCTAATCTAGTATAACATTCTGTATCTAATCATCATGTACAGGTATATTTTAATCACTGTTTTAAAATGATGCTTATTTTTCTCTGATTATGAAGTTGCGTATGTTCAAGGTAAAACAATTTAGAAAGTCAAGAGTAAAATACAGGGTTACCTTTTGAGGTTTTACTAAAAGGGCTGCGATCTCTGAGGTGACCACATTAACAATAGTAGTTATGTCATCTTTGAAACGATCTGAAAAACGAGTCCTCCGAAAACTGTCCCGTTTGTCCATGTTATGTACATACTGGGCCATGCTCTTCACCTACAGAGGGGATGGGACGAAATGCCAATGTGAAGATTGGTGACCTGCTTGTACAATGTGGAAAAGGCGGAAAGACTTGAAGAAAAGCTTCTTAACAATGAACTTTCTATGCTTTATCTGTGCTGGCGGTGCCCAAGCAGGCTCTGGATTAAAAAATACTCCTAACACATGAATGGTTACCATGGTGGCTGGAGTGGGGGAGGGTGTCCTCTTCTTGACCCCAAGTCAGGGACTCCCTTCTTTCTTTCTTTCTTTCTTTTTTTTTTTTTTTGTCTTTTGTCTTTTTCCGTGTCTGGCAACGGATCGCAA